AGCGCATTAATTTTTTGCTGCTTTGTTCGTCTTCGCTTCGTCTTGGCTTGGCCGCTGCCTTTGGATGCGTCTTCTGCTCGCACTTAAAAATTAATTTAATATTCTTGCGTATCCTTTCACGCCAGCAACTCGCATGTTCGAGCCACCGTTGCTGCCAGGCTGTTGCCATTGGGTGTGTCCCCTCGCATCCAAAGCGCCGCTGTACATCATAAAACTCCTGCCGTACATACACCCTGAATAGGATGAGCATCCTGCTCCAGCTTACTGCGTGCTGCTTGCTGCTGCTAAGCTCGCATGGCGGCTGTAAATATAATTACGTCGGGAAAATCCGATCCTTGCAGGATTAATTAGCGCGCATTATGAGACGCACTGTCGGCAACAACAGCGAATGGGGACCCGCGTTCAAGTCGGCTAGCACCGGCACACAGCACGCAGCTCAGCTTCGGGCTCTCGACTAATTTGCTCCCGGCTCGAGGAGTGGCTGGGCCCGCCATCCAGGGGGTGTTAACTAGCGCACAGACCGTAGTTCGGCTATACCTCTGTGTATACATGTGTACGTGAATCGCGCTGGCAACGTGCTGAAAAAATGCAAATGGGATACATTTGCTACTAATTAAGAATCCATGTTTTAAATATGCTGCTCGTTCACTTTTCGAGTATGTGCCGAGGTAAATGCCTGAGTCTATGGAACCCATCCCAGTCTCTGGATTGTGTGTGTGTGGCTGTGGTTTTGAGTTGCAAGGAGCGGCCATAAAAATATAAGTAGAACATGGCGCATAAATGTTCCAGCCAGCGGGTGGGCGGCAGATTGAATGACAGCAGCACCTCAATTTCACCTCTTCCACAATTATCTAATATGAAGGCCTTAAATTACCAGAAATTCAAACCCTTCACAGAGGCGAGCATCGAATAAGAAAATAAGAGGTAGTGTCTGCCAAATATGGAAGGCTTATAATTCGTATAAAATATAATTAGAGCTCAAAAGTTTCCATAAATTGTGATGCTTGGTTGGCTTCCCATACAATAGGAGTTGACATAAAGAAATAGATATAAATAATGTAAAATATTGCGCATAAAACTATATTTATAGAAGCTCTCCGAATTTTAATTACTTCCTTTAATTTGGGTTCTTCCAAGTTAAGCCTCAGTGCAGGTTTCCCTTGACATTCGATTAATGTCACATGTTTTTGGATCTTCACACCTATTCATAGTCAGCTTAAGTTCACAAGTTCACCTTTAGTATCTAGCGTTGAAATGTCACCAATGCAAGGACGCCTTTGATTCATGGGCTCATCGTGACAAGTCGGCGCGCCAACAGCCCAAAACAATGGGCCCCAAATTAGAAGCGAACTGGAAAACCAGGCGATTCTCGTAAAACTCATAAATGGCGCAATAACAATAAAATTCCGGTTGCGAATAAAGCTCACAACTTTCGAGTTGAATTGCCCAGATTTCGAAACTCAAACCCAAACACAAGTGTCAGCGCCAGTCGTAGACGCAGTCTCAGTACCAGTTCCAGCTCCAGTTCATAAAATTGAGGCTTCATTGCCAGCGCCTGTTGCTCCACGGAGCAGGCGGCCAACTGTTGAGCGGATTTTACGAGGCGAGTAATGACGTCATAAAAATTAACAACTTCATGGTGAGAGCATTTTTTTTTATACACATTCTTTTTATTACAATTTGGAGCTGTTTGAAATTTGCATTTGAAATAATTTGAATGTGTGCCAGGCAGACTTTCTATCCATGTCTGCCGAGGGAGTGGAGGGCCGAGCAGCTGGAGCTGGGGGGCGACAATCATTAGCTGGCAATCACGAAGTTCGAGCCAACTGCAATTCAATACAAACGCAAAGGCGGGAAATTAAAATGCAATCAGACGAGCTCAAAACTTTGGCCAAAAATTTATTTGCGTGCCAAAAACAAAATACAGCGCGCCGTGACGCAGCCGGAACAGGAGTCGGAATGCGGGAAAATTGCATCGGAAAATTTACCGTGCAAGCGAACGAGCCAGCGTATGCGGCCAGAAACAATGCACAGGAGACTCTGTGTGTTTGCGCAAGAGAGAAAGGGCGTGAAAGAGAGAGGGAGAGAGAGAGAGAGAAGGAGAGTGCGTTCAATAGCCAGTGAATATAATTTATTCGATCTCTGATAGCAGCGGCCTCTGTCCGACATGTCTCATAAAAATTGCAGTTTAATTACTCCATCGACAGTATCAATTTAGCGAAATCTTTTATTAGCGCCGCAGATGGATTGCCATCGCGTTAAAGCGCCATCTGTAGTCGGTTAAAGGTAAAGGATTGCATTTGGCCACATTCCACAACGGCCCGAGGGGGTGAACTGGGCTGATGGCGAGGTTTTTGGCAAGAGAATTTATCAGCGTTGACATTTTTTATGGGTTTCATTGGTGAGCTTGAAGAGGTATATGGGTCATATAGGAAGTGTTTCATAGGAAAACCTATCAGATATGTTAAAAAACAAATAAAGGTGAAAAGCTGAAGAAAATATTTAAAAATCTATAGAGAAAAATTTGACCAAAATGACTTGTAGGTGTATCTCAGTCATTTTAGTTTTATATAATCTATCGATGTATAGCAGAGTGACGATATAAGAGATCATAAAGCTTTTAGTTTAAAGCCGACACTGAAATTTGAAATAATTTAATATGGTTATGGAAAATAAAATCTGGTACATTTCAAAATTTTATATATGAAGGTACACTACTATATAAAGTCAACTTTAAGTATATTAGATATTATATAATATATTTGATATTATAAAATATATTAATAACTTTCACATTCATTTCACATGGTGGCTTTATATATTCCTTTCCGATTCTATAGACGCCATTCCAGCTTAATAACTTTTGAATGCCCATACACAAAAATTCAGAGTTTCAATTTAGTCTGCGGGCAGTCGTTCTATTCTTTTGCTTGCCTGCCTCGTTTCAATAGCCAAATATTTCCAATATTTGCACCCACGCCGACTGCAGCACAGCTGCTGCTGACCCCCAATCGCCAGTCAGGCAAGTTCTAGCCCAGTAGCTGTCCACTTCGCTGGCTAGCTGGCTAGCTGGCTGGCTGTCCAGCAGCAGTGCCACACGCTCATCCGCAAGATTTATGTATCTCAAATATGTGAGTGCGAGTGCGAATGCGAATGCGAATGCCTATGCAGCTGTAGTGGCCGTGGCTGTGACTGTGGCTGTGGCTGGTTGCAGAGAGCTGACTCCTTCAATTACTCCAGCTCCGGTTCCGACTGTGTGACGGAGACTCCGCCAAATCCAGCCACAGCTGTGAATGTATCTGTGTCCGTGTCCGTGTCCGTGTTTCTCTGTTTGCACATGTGTATCTGTGTGTTCTGTAAATAAGCGAGCGATGTTTTGTTATTGTGCCGCGCTTTTTAAATTTACGTGCGGCAAATGCAACATACTTCACTTACGGAATTTGCGTTAATGTGAATTTGCAGACCACTTCAGTTGGCCAGCCTATAGACCCGAAGCGCGTCCCCCGTCCTCTGGTCCCCCATTCCCTCAGCATTTGCATGCCATACGCCAACGCAACGAGGGGGGTGGGCTGGTGGGGCAGGGGTGCAGCTCGTGATGCGGATGCGAATACGCCGGGGCACAAGTGCAGCGGCATTGACTTTATACAAATGCACTATGAATGCATGTTGCTATTGTTGTTGTTGTTGTTGTTGTTGTTGTTGCTGTTGGCCTTTAGCTTGTCGTTGTTGTTGTTGTTGTTGTTTTAGTGTGCGCTTTTTTGCAGTGCATCTGCATCTGCAGCCCAATGTCAGATACAAGGTACATTCTGTCGGTGTCTGGGCCATTGCAGATGCAGATGGAGTACCCGAGTTTCCACTGCCTCAAACCTTCTTTCCATACGAATGCAGCTGCGTATGTGTATATACATATGCATGTGTGTGTGTGTGTGTTTGAAATGTACGTCCGTACGCAAATGCAGCCATGATTTATGATCTGAAACAATATTGAGCGCCCGAAAATTTATGGAGTGCTCCGCTTTGCAAATAAAACGAAATAAAATTTTGTCAGTTGTATTTTTCGTTTCAATATTTTTGCTTTTCGTAACTTACCAGATGTTGTTGTAGTTGTTGCTGATGTTGTTTTTATTTTTTTATTGTTGTTTTTATATTTTTTCTGTCTTGCCTTCAAACTGACCATTCATCCTTTTGAGGCCATCCATTTCGCCCTCGATTTATTTCGTTTCCGTGTGTGGTGCGACTATATGACGGTAAAATGCATTTCGTAGGAGGCCATGGCTACCAGCGGATGTACTATAGCGAAACTTCTCAGTTTACCATTCATTATATTATAGATAAAAGCAAGGTAAATATTTATAGCATATATCGGTAAATAAATATAAATTAATATTAATATTTATTGAATAACACTTTTTAACATTTTTTTTTTGTGTTTGCTATTGCTATTTTTGCTAAATTAATCTTAAAATCAACTAAGATAATTTTATACCATACGAATACATATTGCAATTTATTAAATAGATAATAATTTTTATAAATAAAAAAATGTTTAAATATTGAAAAATAAATATTTCTTTATTTATAAATATGTTTATATCTCATAATAACACAAAAATGAATTTAATTTTACGATCTACAACTATATAATGCCAAATAAATTATTAATAATTTGTATTAATATAAATGAATACAAATATTTATTGAATAAAAAATACATTTTAATATTAAATAGTGATAACATTTTTTACATAAAACTAAATTAATTATTCCCAAAATAATACAACAGCTCATATTAAGTTATGTAATCTACGCATGAGTCTTATGAATCATTTTCCAATAGCAAAACGGGGTTTTATCGATTGGAAAGCTTGCTTTCGATGATAATATAACAGCTTAAATATCGATAAAGTCCTGTTAAGACGATAGCTGACTCGGGTCTTTGAAGTCTCATCAAGTAGCCTTTGCGGTATTGCTTAAATTAGTTCTCTGTGCCATTTTTCATCAGGGAATGTCAGTTAACTTTTGTGAAGTGTTGAATTTTGTTGAACTTTTACTTTGAGACGTATAAATTAATTGGTTATAATTCGTAAGATATACATTTTAGTTCTTTGCATTTCACGGCGCTCAAATGCGCTGGAGCTCCTTGTAAAATAATCCCAGCAGGCGTTTGGCTCCAGCTGTCTCCATCTGTCAATTATAAAGCAAATTGTCTTAAATTCTTTGACAGAACATTCGGAAGTGCCAAATACCATTGATCAACATGCCGCTGGAATTGATTGTTATATCGCTGATGCGCACTGACAAGTGGATAAATGTGCTAATGCTGAATACCCCGGACGAGGACTTCGGCCGGCTGCAGAGCAGACGCATCGATGTGAGCTCCGATGGCATACGCTGGATCGAGCGCGACTATGAGCAATTCACGCCCCTGGGCAAGTTTTTCGAGATCAACACCAATCCCGAAGCAGGCATCACAGTGGACAAGGAAACGAGCAACGCCACTGCCCTGAAGCTGAGCCTCGTTCGCATCAACGATGCGGCCCTCGACCAGCAAACCGTCGATGTCGGGATAAAGGAGCTGCAACTGCTCCTGAGCGGAACCTGTACCCTGCACTGCACCAACTGCTACAACGAGCTGGTGGCCGCGCGTTGCTTCAGCTCCATTCGTCCCATGCCCATTCAAACCATGGAGCCACTGAAGTACTTTTGCCCTAAGAACCGGGTGCCCACAGCGGTGGATGAGGGCGAGCTGTACTATGCCCTCAACTACATTGTGATAAGTCCCCAGATCCTGGGCAAGCGCCTCGTCCAGTGCGGAGGGCGTATTCACTGTGGCCGCTGCCTGCATCTGGTGGGCGAGTCGTTGGGCGAGAAGGTGGCCGTGCAGCTGTACGTGGATACACTCTGGGTGGGCTCGGCTGGCCAGGATGGCATGCCAGAGGGGCGTCTGGAGAAGTTCTTTGGCCCGCTGACGGTCTCGCAGCTCATGCTGCACCTGCTGCAGGACGCCGTTCCCATCAGCGATGAGAGCACCAGGCTGTTCCTGAAGACAGTGCGTCCGGATGGTCAGCTGCACTATATGCTGCTTCTCGTGGACACCAAACCACTGCATCTGCTGCGCTCCAAGCTGTCGCTGATCGAGGACCTCAATCTCGGCGACTACGATGCCGACATATCGCTGATCTCGCACAGCGACAGCAGCAGCGAGAGCATCACTGCAAACAGCAGCGACAGCGACAGCGACGATAGTGGGCCGAGTGTTAAGCGCCGACGTCGTCCCCATCGCAGCGGCGATTCGAAGCCGGTGCACGAGATTAAGGTGCGCGGCTATCGGGGCTGCCGCATCAACTATCACATGTTCAGCACCGACGAGGAGCTGGCCGCCAACACGAAGCTCATCGAGCAGTGGCGCAAGGAGGGCACGCCCATGGTGCGCATCTCCTATGGGATGATGATGGATCTGCTGCGGGAGCTGAACGTGAACGAGCTGCTGGTGGAAACGCTGGAGCGCATTGCGCCCGATGAGAAAACGGGACGCGTTAGCTACATCATCTATGAGCCCGACGAGGATACATAGACGAACTCTGGGCACGCTCGAAGCTCACTTGCTCACCTCGCATTCCAATCGACTGATGATATATGTACATATCTCATTAAATTATTCACATGCTAGAAATGCATTCATACATATATCAACTTTTTTTTGTTTATTTTTTTTTAATTGAGGATTCATTGTGGAGAAAACCTTATGTACTTATTATAATAGCGGTATTTCGCATGATTCCTTAAGCATTTTCTTTTTCATCACATTCAATTTATAAACAAATTATATACAATGCCTTAGATCCACGATGGTTTCATAACTAAAATAAAAACTGGGACTCAGATAACATATATAAATATACACAACAATACCTGAACTGTAACACAAATATATCTTAACATAAATATAATTGATAATTCAAAATATCAGTGAGTCTGTTTTCTATGGCTCATTTACTATGAGCTGCAGATAATACAAAACTGTAATAAAACATTCGACTTCATGCTAAATAAAATAACTTATCAATATACGAAAGTTCGGCTTGACGTGGATTCTTCTCAGGGTAGCCTTCAATGGGCGCATTCGTTCCATTTGAGTGGGATTTGGGTCTGGTATTTGGTGTGCAGTGGCACTAAAGAGACGTGGCGCATGTGTATCGACAACTGTTCCTGCTAGTATTCATTTGCAACTGACAACTGCTATAAAGGAGGATAACACGCACATTTATCATGTTGCACACGCAGCGATTTGTGCTCGATTCCGACTTATCAGCAACTGCAGCCGCCCTGTCAGAAAGGGAGTGAGTCTGCAGACGAGGCGTGCACAATTGAATGCTGCTACGCATCTCTCGAAATGCTAGCCGGAGCATCAGAGGCTTAGGCAAACGCTTCCCACTGTCAAAGGACATGGAGAAAATTGGGCTGCCTGCATATCTATCAGCAGCAGCACTCGGATTCGTGTAGCTGCACCCACATGTGGCTGCCACACACATACACACACACACACACAGCTGGTGGCCGCCATTTTGTTTCTTCTGTCAGCATATGGCCGCAGGGATCTTCTGGCGAAGGGGGAGCCAGGAAGTGCTGCCAAGCGCAGCTAGAAAAGCATCCATATTCTATTTTAATATGACAAATGCACAAGACTCGCCGCACCGCGCGTGACTTTTGTCAAATGTTATTCTCATGAAAAATGCTGGAAGAACTGTGAGTAACTCAAAAGACATATCGTGGTATGCAGGAAAATTTTGAAAATGATTGAAATATCGAATTGGGATTGCATGAGCTACATATATAGACTAGACTAGATGTTTAATAATTGATTAAAAATTCGAATTTATATAAAATTAAATCTATCTTAAAATTAAGCTATCTATTAAGCATTTATCATATATCATTGACAATTTTGTGTAGAAATCTTATTGTCATTTATTATGTAACCTTTATTTTATCAAATTTGCATTCATTGTCTGATAATCTCAAGTGATCTCTGCAACCTTTGATAACCTTCAATTACATCATCCGCTTCATAAAGATCTTCTCTCCAAACTCAGTGCCAATTAAGATCATTTTGGCAATACCTTTAGCAAGCACAAGGCAACATATGTCCTGATTTATTGATTCGTATATTCATTTCTTGAGAGTGTGCGGCTCATGTGCCGAGTTTGTGCTGTGTTGCATGCCACACTTGCCGCTGTCTAAGCATCCTGTACCGTATGCCATAAATCATAAATGCAGACAAAATATTCGCCAGGAGTAGAGCAAACACACACGAAAAAACACAGAGTCGAAATTATGCTTTGCTCCAGATTTGTCGCCGTGGCAGCAGGCAGCAGGCAGAAGGCAGCTGGCAGGACTCGAACAATTCACGTAGAGTGCGTAGTTTGCATATGTGGGCGGACGCAGGACGAACGCATCATAAAACAACAAGGACAACGCACAAAAAATATTTAGAAAAGAATTACGCTTAAATGCAATTGCTGTCATATTTTTTGTCTGTTGCGTTGCGTTGCGTTACGAAAGTCCTGTGCATGCGGCGCTTGTGATTTACGATGCTGGCAAAAGGAACTCGAGCGCAGCAGGACGAAGTGCAGCTCCGCTCTGTAGCTTGGACTCGGCGCTGCGGTGGGCAATTAAAACGCGATGCGATAAAGCCACCAAAGTGCAATTCATACATCGTTAAATGGAAATATTCATTGAGATTTTCCCCAGCCAGAGCTAATTTATTATTAATTGAATCGAACTGAGACGACAGCCAACTCCTGCCGCCACTCAGCCACTCAGCCACTCAGCCACTCGAACGTCCCGGACGTCGCAGAGACGCTGTGTGACCCGCCGCCATGTGATGTGAGTTTTATGTTCTATTTATGTTGTGCAAACGATGCCCCATAATCGTAAATATATCAAAACAAATCGTTAAAATCGATCGTCGTCATTTGGCGCTGCTTGCCTCGATTCGAGCTCACATTCAGATACAGAAACAGAAACAGATTCAATGGGCGAGGGGCGCAGGAATGCGAACGGCTTCATTTGCGGAGTTTGGAGCAGTTGTTGTTGTTGTTGTTGTTGCTGTTGTTGGGGAAGCTCTATCTCTACATGAAGTGAAGTGGCGCGAGGGTCGACGCGTGTCAATTGAGTTGCTCTCACTCCTGCGCATATTTGTATATGATATTGAAAGTCAAATTTGTGTGCCTGTGTGTGTGTGTGGGTGCGTGCGCCCATAATCATTGGCGGCGTTGCCAGCCAGAAGGAGCTCATAAATTTTGTGACTTAATTAAGTTGGCAACACTTGAAAATTGTTTGAATTTTGTTATTTTTTCCCCCTTTGAGTGTGCCATCAGCTCAATTGTTGTTGTTCTTGTGGCTTGAAGTGAGTCTTCGTTTGCATTTACAGATAATAATTGTAAGAGCCCATTATTGAATCCATATTGATTTATAACTATTGAATAGGCACCGAATAGGCCGATTACAAAAGAATTCCTAATTGGCCGAAATAGCGAGGGGAGAAGGGAGAATTTAGAGCAAACAGGCAATGTCCTACCCAATATGTATTAAAGTATTCAATTTGTATTAAATAATCAAATTAAATTGATAGATTATTTATATTTATATTTTTTATTAGAATCTAATAGCACACACATTAAATGCTTTAAAAAAAATTCTATCTAAACAACAAAATTTTGTCGGACTTCAGTTGAATTTCCAGGAACCTTATTTAAATGAAATCAACATACACTTGCTATGGCTCTTCGTATAATGCCTTCAGAGCTCATGTATTTAAGAAATATGTAGCAGCTATTTTCAAAACAAATAACCAAACACGATTTTTAGTGCGTTTTGAATGTGAGCAAGCGTCAAACTTTGTTCATCGCTGCATTTGTTTATTTGTACAGCGCTTGAGAATCTTCAAAAACAAAAACAAATGTGGAAATATTCGCAGCACGCCGGAATGCATGAAGAGCCATGGTAAAGAACCGGAGACCCACCGGCTCCCAATGGCAGCCGTTGTAGTCGAGGTCTGCGAGGTGCCACACGATATGTGCTGAGGGGCGCTCGAAGGCGGCGTTTGTTTATCCAAAGGGGGTCGACACTTGGCAGCCACATGCCCCGTTATTTGTTTTTATAGACTCATTTTATGTGCTCCATGTTTGTTTGGCTCGATTGCGCCACACTTGTTGAGGCCGGGCCATCTTTATGAGCGCTTCGCCCACGCAAGCGAATCAGACTGAGCAGAAGCAGTGTTACGCACACATAATAACCATAATAATAAGAATTAACTTGCTCATTACCACACAAAAGGATTGGACAAGGCTGGCAGGTCTGCTAGGGCAGACAAAAGCCTCATAAAGACATCATAACTCAGAGCCTGCTGAAAGGATAAAGCGGACACGCCACCCACAGAGAGGCGAGCCGAGGAGGCTGGCAGGCAATAATTAAGTACTTTTCTATGCAAAATTGGAACGCAGTCAAAGGCCACAAGAAATCTCTCACGCTCTCGCTCTCGCTCTGCCTCTTAGCCAGTTGCTCAGGTAATTCCGGGCTAAATTAAAATCTCCCTCTGTGCACGGCAAGTGCTCAAGACATTGTCACACATTATCAGACGGCCAGAGAGAGAGAGAGAGAGAGAGAGGGAGAGAGAGTAGTATCTCGAACTGGGCTCAAACTTTGCGAAACAAAGACCTACAGCTGAAAGGGGTGCGTATGACCGGGTGGCGTATGACCATGGGCGGGGTGGCTGGCCGAGCTGCTTGTTGACTTACTCCAAGACAAACTTTTGCGCGGTGGCAGCTCCTTGGCGAACGGGCGTCGCAGCTGCCGCCCTTACGGCTCAATTGCAATTACGGCAAATTACTTTATTACATCCGTAATTGTGTGACCATCAAGCGTGCCAGTTTTCGGGCAGTGAAATTAGTGTGGCAGACGCCACAAGTGTTTCTACCCCACGCCGTCCCCTCCCGCATGAGTGCACAGCTACGTCCATGTCTCAGTCCATCAATAGCCAAACATTTAGTGCCACATAATGTTGCACGCACAAACGCCGTCGGCTGCAGCAGCGTCGGCAAAGCAGAGTTGAAGCTACGTTTGAGACGTAATCCTCGAGTCAAGCTTATTTAAATGTCGACGTTTGTCGTATTGTAAAAATAAAATATTATAAATACATATGTATATAAAATTACTGGAAAAAATATATGTATATGTATAGATAATAATTTTTAGATTTTATTGTGATTGTGAGCCTGATAAAAAATGTTGACCCAATAAAGCAGTTAAATATATAGTTTTTATATAATAAATAATAGATTCATGAAATTTCAGTTTAATTTTGTTGTGTTCTTAACAGAAAAATGATTTTCAAAGAATGTTGAAAATTTATTTTTTAAAAGATTGATCACAAAATATATATTTTTAGTAATAGAAAATAATCAATAATATTTGTATTTAATTGCAGCCAAAACATTTTAATACTCTATTACAAGCATTGTTTAAAAATTAAAAATAAATTACCAATTGCTGTATCCAATTTGAGATATTATTTGTAAATCTGTAATTGCCAACTATAGCTGAGCAGTTAACATATTTCTACCTTAAAATCTACTTACAGCCACATTGAGAGTTTATTATGAATTAATAACTCAATCATCAAATAAATAATACAAATATATTGATTTCTTTTTCAATGCAAATGAACAATTAATCTTTGCCTTTTCAATAAAATTTAACGACACTTGGAAATAGTTTTCCATCTTTATTAGCTTTATGGCACGAGTTGTTGTCAATATCATTTAAAAGTGTCGTTGCTTAAGCTCGTTTACGATCTCGTGTGGGTGTCCTCTGACGTCACGACTGCGAATTTGGCATCAGCGTGCCTGTCGAACGGAGAACGCGCGCCAAAACTGCGCGCTGCTCTGCCGCGCAGACGCGGCTCTCACAGCTCAGCCATATTTATTTATGATGTAAACAAACCATTAAACGGGAGAATTACGAGCGCAGTCGCAGTCTGCGCTCTGCTCGGCCACGATGGCAGCGACGCTGCAGCGCTGCGACGGCAGAGCAGAGCGGCAGAGCGACCGAGCTGCAGCAGCGCGATATAAATCACGCACACGCGCACAAATTTACGATGTCGCTGCCTCTCTCAGCTCGCATCGTGCTGCTCGCTTGCACACGCTCGCTCGGCTTAGCGCCCTCTCGCTCGCAATGCTTTATAGCTGCCGGGAATGGTTTATTGCTAGCATGTTCATCTTCTGCTTGCTGAGCATGCACACACACACACACACACGCACGCACGCTGGTGCTGGCAGCATGGGCACTGCGCACTCTCTCTGAGCGGGAGAGAGAGAAAGAGAGCAGCTGTTTCTGTGTCAAACATATGCTTGTGTTGTTGTTGATGGCAGTCAGAAAGGGAAGCAATTAAATTGGGCAACGGCACTGGTGTGAGCGAGCCGGCCAATCAGTCTCCGCCCATTTTGCGTGTTGGTAAGCGTCAGAAAACCGCTGGCAGTTCAAAAACAGCCAAAATAGAAGCAAATATTTTGCATTTCCCTGCCAGCCCAGGCATTATTTTGTGCAGATGTCGCTACGCTTGCTGCAAATACTCCGCTGGCGTTGTCCAGCACTGGCCTAATGAGAAACCTGTTAGAGGAGCACGCCGAGAACTGGTTCAGAGCACGGCCAAATTTATGGCTACACGTGGCTTTCATTGAGAAACTGATTCTGCGGCACTGGGCAAATTGCTTTGTTTATGGGCGTTTACTTTTGCAGCGCAGACGAAATTTACGAGCTCTTGAGCTCTCATTCGAGTGAGTTTTTTGAGCGCATCGTCGCAGCGGTTTGAGTGGTTTTTGTGTTGGTATTTTCGCAGCCAGCGTCTTGCCCCGAGCTCTTTTAATGCGCTTTATGTTGGATTTGAACTTGAAAATTGCTTTATTAATCATTAAGGAATAAGCGCGTCTATTAGGCGTCATTTATCATTTGGGCACCAGGACGGCAGATGGTGGAAACTCGATTAGTTGGTGACATTTCAAAACTAATAACATTCCCATAAATTAAAAACAAAGTTTCATGTGTTTTATTTTATGTATGTTGCTACATAGTATCAGATAGTAGTATCTATACTAAAAAATAGGTTAAATAGGCTTCTAAATAGTAGATGCGAAAAAAATCTTTTTGAATGCTCAATCAACAGTACCGTATATATTTGGGAAAATTAAATTAAAATTTGCTTTATTAATATTTCTGTGTATTTGTATTGTATTAAAGTAAAAGTTTCCATACCATGTAATGCTAAAATATATTATTTTAGTATATAATTATATGGCCCCATTCAATTCTGATACTAAGACAATATTTATAAATTCATTTGCTTTCTTCACTGTCTCTTAACATTAAATTTCATTATTAGCTAAATTCTCCTTCACACTTGGCTATCAGTTTTCATATGATGATCTTCACGATATTATTTGCGGTATTTGTTATACCCTGAACCCATTGAAAATGGGAAATCAGGGTATAATGTTTTTGTGTAAAAGTATGTAACAGGCAGAAGGAATCATCGCAGACCCCACAAAGTATATATATTCTT